GGTTGTTGTTTTTATTCTATACTATTCATCCACTTCTAAACTTTTGTAATCTTCCGGTAACAAGGAATCTTAGAATTTACTAATTTATGATTTCAAAATAATCAAAATATATGCACTATATATTGAATGAAACTAGAAATATATAATCTACAAAATAAAATAACTAAAATATAAAAATAAATAAAAATTAATCATCAAATTAAAGGTATATAGAATAATAATAGTTCACTGTTAATACATTAAGTGGAATCTTTTGAAATGTTTTTGAATACCATTTGCAATAAAAATGTTTGCATTCCAATATAAAATTTATGAATGATATTGATTTGTGAGAAAAATTTTATGAAGTACTTTCTATTATAGCAAAAATCTCCTCAAATAGGATATGCCTGAAACTTGGACATTTATCATGGGAACACACACAATTCCTGTTAAATACATATATAGTACAGCATCTCCTATATGTTGGACTCCTTGTATATCTATGGGTTCTCATTTAATTCCGCTATGATGAACAATCTAATACGTCACAAAAATAAAAGAGAGGTCATTCTTTATATGCTGTACATACTGAATGGAAAGTGTGCCTCCTCTCTATCTTGAACACTCCTCTACGTTGGACATGTAGACTTAGAATGATTTCACTGTATTATATTTTTTGAAATGTCATATTTTTCTTAAAACTGCTGAATATGTTTTAAACCATACAAATTGAACAGATTGAAAAAACTGTGAAAAGCCAAATGGGAAAAAACAGAAAATCATTGAATGATAACACAATTCAATGAATAATAAACTTGCTTTGATTGGTTTATAAAAATTTATTAATAAAATATAGAATATTAAGAACTCAATCTGCTTTATTGGAGTCCATATAAAGTACAAATAAAAATCTAATGTAAAAACAGATTTCCATAGTAGTTTCAAATGCATCTTTGGAGAAATTTTTCACAATTTTAATAAGAATTGATTTTTTTAAAATAAAAAACATCTATTCCTAATTTTGAACAGCTCTATTAAAAAACAGACAATTATCATTAAAAATCTACTGTTCATCTAAGTTTGAAGTCTTGAATATAAATTAATTAGAGCTTGGATCTTATAAGCTTTTAAATACATAGAATAACCAAACATTTTCGGTCCATTTAAAATAATTTTCTTCAGGTGTTTGAAAGCACTAAATACATTACAAAAAATTTTATTTTGCACTTTTAAAAACATTCATTTTCCAAACAAACATTTTCATTTGCTTATATTATTTTGAAAGAATCAGAATCTGAAATTTTTAAAACACAAGAAATTAAATATAATATAAAGAAAAAAATTTGATTTTTTTTTAATCCCAAAAAGGAGAGACTTTTAATATATCAGAGAATATTGAATAATGTAGCAATAAATATTATTATTAATTATACTTCACTGAATATTTGAAATGAAACTAAAAATATCTATAATTTAATTAATACCTAATAGTTATAAAATTTTCAAATGTTTGTCACTTTGATTTTTGATTAATTTCAGTTCTTTTCAATAACTTTTTTATTTTAGCTTGACAACATAATAAAATTAAACAATATATATGTATAATAATAATATATAAAAGACACTTGCAATGAAATGAAACCATATAAAAATAAATATAACAAAAATCATTCATGGAAAAGAATAAACTACATGTCTACATTAAAATCCAACACAAACTTATTTTATAAACAGAATGGAATTTTTATTTACATTAGAAATGTTTTTCAACCTCTCAAGTCTCTCTCCAATGAAACTGAAATTTTAACAGAAGATACAAGAAGACTTTCTAATTTGAAAGTTTGGTTTTGATTTGTAAATGCTGATGTTTTCTGGATTATAATTCAGAAATATTAAATGCATGATGATCAGCAGATTTTCAAAATTATTAAAGCTATCATTTAATCAATTATGAAGTCTGCTTACGTAGAACGATCTAAAAACTAGATTGAATATAAGTTTCTATTAATGAACACAACATGAACACTTAATGTAATTAATTCATTTGATTTTAAATAAAATGATTTACGATGAAACATAACAGCCCTTTTATGAAGAAACAATATATATATAATTTTTTATTTCATATTTGTAAAAAGTAGTAAGAAGTTAATTGTACTTCATGCCATATAATAATCTAGTGTGATGTTACAATGTAACATATTCTGTCTTACAGCGTTAAAACTGTTTTATTCAAAAATTGCAAGTACTTTTGATATCCTCTTTATGCTGATTCAATTTGAATATAATCAAATTGACTGAAGAGGATAGTTGTACACTAACAAAAGTACTTGCAATTTTTGAATAAAACATTGGTTTAACACTTATGGTGCACCAAACAGTAAAAGTAGTGATACTTTGCATTTTAAGGTCAAAACAATCAATTTTATCACATACAAAGGATACAGTTATAAAGTCAAACTAGTTAAATAAGAATGATATCATTATTCTTACTTTTGCTGGACATTTTGGCCAATTTGTTTAAAACAAAATGGTTGTTCCTAAAGCCAAAGTTCGAACATTGTTGGTACAATATAGTAAGACCTCATTTAGTGCTTAGGATGCATTCCTAGATGACAAAGCACTAAATGAAACAGCATTAAATGAGGCCATTTTAACACACAGTAAATAGGGAAAGGGGAACACATGACAAAAATAAACAGATTTTAGTTTAATTTTAAGTTATTTTTATATTAATTTGCTTAATAATATATGTTAAATAACACAAACATATGCACACAGAAATGTAAAGTTCATTTTTTGTGATGAAGGTCCTGGCTCTTCTGAAATTCTTGTTTTTTGTGATAGTCGTGTAGTTCATTTATCACTTTCTTTTTCTTTCCTTAAGTAAACGTCAGTAGCAGGAGATCACATCCAAAACACCTTGTCTTCCTTTTGCACTCCTTTCAAAATCTGGATCATTTGCTACAATTTGATCAACGATTTTGGTTATCGTTACCAAACTTTTACTAAGGAATTCTGTAAAGAAATTCTTTGAGTTCTTTGTTTTCAGAATCACCATTTTCCAGTTCTACATGAATTCCTTGTTCTGCCAGTTCTTGAAAATCGTCTTGGCAAGGTTCTCACCAGAAACCTGCAGTAATGCCTCAATATCCTGCTCGTCTACATCTCCTAGTCCTGCTGTATTGATTAGGTTGACAATGTGGTCAACGATAGGCTCTTCTCATTGAGAATTCCTGGATACCTCCAGCCATACCTTCTTCCACACTCTGTTCATGCATTCATCAGTTAATTCTTGCCAAGTAAAATTGATATTGCCTACAGTATCCAAGATGTTATATTTTTTCCAAAATTGCACCAAACAAATATAGATTTAAGAAAAGTATAGTGCTATGATGAATTGCCACCTTTTACTGATTGGTTCATGTTTGGGAATAATTGTATTATATATGAATCAATGAAATGCCACGATAATTTGAATCAGCATAAATTTTGAGTTTTTTTAAGGCTTCGAGCAGACTGTGTTATATCAAATCAGCATTAATCAAGGAAGTGCTAAACAAGGTCTTACTGTATCTGGAAAATTTTTTCTCAGATTATTTCACATAGAAATTATTTGTCATTTCATCTTTTAATCCACTCAAAGGAATTTACAAATATCAATATTTATATATTTAGTTGACTGGATTAAAAGATTCCATTTTCTTCATGATGTGAGCTAACTCTGTATGAATATCATTCAAATTCCATTTAAAATATCATCAATATACAACGTGTGCAGTGTATGAAACTAGTTAACTTCACCACACACCGGGTTGAATATATGACCCCCATTGAACATTTGGTGGAGCCAACATATAGCATTTCCTTATCCCATCTGTTGTCTCTGATAGGGACGCTATAAATGCCCGGTTGTATGTCGGGGTTAGGAGGGTCTTTTCCATTATGCAGTATGTTGAAAATGGACAGGCATCTCCTGTACAATATATTGACTCGACGTTAAGGGTCAATATAGTGTACAGGAGGTATCAAAATAGGGGCCAGGATAAGGGAGCATAAATCTGACACATAATAGGTGTACAACGGACCTCTCAACTTATGCGACGGATCCAGATATTATGGGAAACCTCACCGGAGCAACTATTATCCTCACCACCACCCACCTGGAACACCTCAAATAGTTGGAGGCAATTGAAATATTTAAGGCATCCAGCCTTAAATATTTAAAATTAAAATTAATGCAGAACCACTGCATTAATTTTAAAGTGGAGATGTCCCTTTCAATGGCATGGCAGGTCCTAATGGACAATAGCATTTGATTTTGCAATCAGATGTAAAGTGGAACGCATGTGCATTTCAAAACTCATTATGTTGTTTGATATTTAAAAGTCTTGGAGTGCATGTGCATGTGGTGTCCTGAAATGAATACCTTTCAAATTGTGTTTGAATATTAATGGCCAACTTGTATAAATGAAAGTAGAAGCCTGAGGAAGAGTCCAGAAGGGGCTTTGAAAACATTTGCAGTTATCTAACATAAGCACTCTGGTTATTTGGTTAAAGTAAATGAATCCCATGTCATGTATGAAACTAGTACTTTATGACATCTTAATAGTAATTTGTTTAACTCATTTGACTTTATGAATGTACCCAAACTTTTAAACAGTTTTAAATTTGGTATATTTAAAATAATTAAGTATTGAAAAATTTACATAAAATTCTCAATTTGCAGATTGGACATTATACAAGAATAATTAACTTTTTTGCTGTCACAGAGTTTATTGAAAAAAACCCAACATTTTTTATCACTTTCAATTAATTTATAATCTGACAATGGTTTATCATGTCATCATGTTTTAAAATAGCTTAAATATAAATTTTGTTCAGAATATTAGCATATAATTTTTAAAATTCATACAATTCAATATTTTAAACAAAATATTGAAAAATCTGAATTTAAAATGAAAACTGCATCTGTTTTGGAAACATATAGTAAATATATGTTATGAGTAATTTGAATTACCTTCTACTTTACAATATTTTAAAATAAGCAATTGTTTATATCAAAATTCCTAAAACTTTATAAACATTCTTAGTACATTTATCATTCACAATGTAGTCTTTAATGACAAACATCAAGAAGTAATTAGAAAGAAATTTACAAAGCAGTCTTTGCTGATACCAAAAAGATGGTTTTGTAAATTTCATTCTATATATATATATATCATCTCATTTATTAAATTATAAAAAATATTTTGATTCACTATTAAAAATTCCCACTAAATTCTAATGAAATAAAAATATAATTTTACACATAAAATACATCACATATGAATAGGCCTATACAATATTTACACCTAAAAAATATATTATATGTATATTACATATAATTCTCACAATTATATTCCATAAAATAGTATTTCCATTTATAAAGGAAGATTCCCAATAACAGGAAATACATCTATTTGATATGGTCTTAGAGGAGAAAGTACTGGTATTGCTGCCATTATTGGAGGTTTTTCTGATGCAGCATTCTCTGTCTTCTTCATATTAGTAATAGGAATAATACCAATTAAATTCTCTATGTTAGACACTTTTAAAATATCAATAATTGGAATAGAAAGATCACCAGCTACAGATTTTAAGTCATTGAGTGAGTTCTTTTTTCTACAAAATTTTTTGTGATAACGATACAGAACATTATACTGGAAAACTCTACAACAAAACTGACATTTGTATGTTTTTAAATGATTTGTTCGTGAGTGTCTAAGTAATTGCTCTTTATATAAAAATTTCTTATGACATATAAGACAGTGGAATGTTTGAGTTTTTAAATGCATTTGCATATGATAATAATAGATTGATTTTTTAACAAATATTTTTTTACATTGTTTGCATTTAAAGTGGTTTCCATAAGATGATCTCTCACTATTTGTTTTATGTTCTACTTGAACATTTTTCTTGAACCATTTTGAAGTTGCAGAATCCATCTCATTTGGAGACAATGTATTATTCATTTTTCTTCTGTTTTGATAGCAATTCTGTTTTATTTTTGAAGAAAATATTTTAGATTTAGTTCCAGTTTTTTCAATCATGTTAGAATTATTAAATTCTTTTGATTTTAAGGATGTAGTGATACATTCCTTTGAATTTACTGAATAAGAACAGTTTTCTTTTGGTACTTTAAGTTTTCCATCAGTTGGAAATTTTTTAGTAGTAGTAATTTTCTGATGGGTTTTTGATTTAACAGAACGTACATGTAACATTGTATGACAACAAAGTCGTTCAGCAGTACTGAAATATTTTTTACAAAAAGGACACAAGTACAATATATTAGTATGATCATTTAAAAATTGGTTTTCTGAATCAATATTTTGTAAAGGTTTAGTTTTTCTGGGTGTTGATTTCAAGTATTTGGTATTGAAATACATTGATGAATTAGTGTTGCTATTTGACAAGAATTTTATGTTTGTTTTTATATTTGATGTTTGTAATCCAGAAGGCTCAATATAACCAGATGAATCCACTGTAACCTTTTCATTGGAAAAATCTTTAGTTGTACAATATTTTAATTTCATGGAGTTATAGTCGGAATTTATTGTATGAAATGTTTGTTCATTATTATTTAAATATTCTTCAAGTTCTAGTTTTTCTTGTTTATATTTACCAGATTTATGCATAACATCATGATCATAAGACTGACTTGTTTTTGTATTATTATGAATAATTATATTATCTAAATGGTTTTGCCTTCCTGCTTCTGAATTCATTGCAATATCTGAAGGAAGATATCTCATTATATTTTTTATATTGTCATCATTTACTGATAGCATATTTGAAGATGTTTCATTTGGATAATGGAAAACTTTACCTGAAGAGGGACTATTTTCAGCACTTTCATTATTATTAGAACTATCAACTTCAATAGATTCAGAATCACTTAAAAGTACACTTTGTACATGAGTTTTTACATGGCATTCAAAATCTTCTTCAACTGTAAAATCCATCTGGCATGGAATGCAAGTAAAAGTCGTTTCTGCTTTACTCTGCTGTTGTATTAAATGAGAATCTATTGAGCTAGACTGTTTATTCATTTCACCATTGTTAAAATAAGTTGATGCTTTTGAATTATCATTATTATTTTCAGAAGAAATTATATTAGAATTACTGGTGGAAGGAAGAGCAAGCAACTGAGAATGTATTGAATCTGCATTATTTTGAGACATTGAAAACTTGGAACAAGAAGAACTTTCTTTTGAGACAAGTTTTGAATTTCCATGGAAGAGAGTCATATGCTGATGATATTCCGAATTTGTTAAGAATAGTCTCAAACAAAGACAACATTTATATTTAAATTTCTGTTCATGAACAGACACATGAGCACTACAAGTTAAATAATCAAAAGGAATTTCATAATTACATACATTACATTGCCAAATAGAATTGGGCTGTGGTATATTTTTATTGAAATAATCTGAAAAATTTTTATCAGAAGTTGCTTGCATTGGTAATTTTGTAGAATTATCAAGAATATTTTCTTGATTGTTACCATCATTTTGATTTGAAAGATTATTTGTATTAAATACAACTGATTTATTTCTGAGATCATTACTTTGTGAATGATTATCAAACGTATAATAAGTATTAAAAAGCATATTTTCTAAGTTTTTATCTGATGTGCTAATAGCAATAGTATCTGCAGATGCAAATGATGGCAATGTATTCATGAGACTCTCACCATCAGCTATCTGTGTTCTCCATTTTCGTCTGTCCAAATTTTCTGTTGATACTTTATGACGATGTTTAAGATGGTGCAAAAACACATTTTTCTGTCGAAAACTTCTATTACACAAGCCACAATGAAACAAAGCTGTACTACTATGCAAGGCCTAGAAATAATAAGTTTATACAAATAAATAATTATCAAAAATATCAAATTTTATAACTAAATATTTTTGAAATTTATATTTATTGAATTTCTAGAAAAATCCAATAAAATTATCATAATTTAAACAACAAAACTGCAAAATTATTATAAAAATTATCAAGAATTTTTATTATTATCAGGAAATTTATCTGAATTACATTCAATTGAAATACCAATACTAAATTCTGTAATATAATTATTTCTCAATGCATTAATCTATGGCCTATCCTTATAATTAGAATTAATTAGGATAGGAAATAAAATAAATTAGGAATTTATCTTAAAATATCAAACTTTTGTTATTTAAAATTTAATTCTAATATAAAACAATGAAAACATTCAGCTATTTTTAAATCAAATTTAGACTATTATTTCTTAAAACTTCTTTGATTCTTTAAAAATATTTTAAATAAATAAAGTATTTTTAATAAATTAACTGCAATATAAAAAATTTCCATGTTACAAAATAATACTATAACTAATTTGAAAAAATTTATGATTAATAAATTTTAAACAATGTTAAAAATGCAAAAACAGAATCTTCTAAAGAATGATAAACAATGTAACAAATCATGATAAAATTTTATACAAATTTTTGGCTTTCTTAACTTCAAAATTATTAAGCTGAAAAGATATTCCAGTGATAAATTAAAATATAAGAAAAATTAAATTTTTCCATACTTTATGTCTCATTAATGTTCCTTTTTGACGGAAACATTTTCCACAAAACGGGCATGCATGAGGTTTTACTCCTTGATGAATAAGAAAATGCATCTCTAGTGTAAATTTACGACTAAAGAATTTGAGACAGACTGGACATTGGAATTCCTTTTGTTGTGTGGCTGTATTTTTTATCTGATGCTGAGAATCCATACTTTATAATCTGTATAAAAAAATTTGTAATTTTAAATAACTTAAATTTATTTTTAGCTATGAAATTAAACTAACATTCCTATAAAAGAGATTATTAAATAATTTTAACCTGTAATTCGTAAATTAAAAATTACAACTTTATCTGATTACATTATTACTTCTAAAGCATTATAACCATATGAAGAGAAATACTTAAAAACTGTTTTAATATTTCCAAATTTAATATAAAATATTATTATTCAAATTACAAAAACTTAATTCATGGAAAAATATTTTTCATTTCACGAATGAATGTTTTTTAAGAATCTTTAGGAAAAAAATTAAACATGTTAGTTGTTTTTTTTAAATATCAAGTAAATATTTATTAATGAAGTAAAGATTTGAAATTTTACATACTAAAATTCTTTACTTTGATATATAGAAAATTTTTTAGTGTGGCAGTTTTCTTTTTTAGATGCTAGCATGCTAATTTAGTGCTATGTTTTAATCATGATACTGCTTAGTTATAAAGCTTATATATATTTTGTATGTATTTTAACCAAATAATCAAATAATAAACAAAAAGCACTAACAACTTGTATTTTTTTAAAATCTAGTTGATAACCTATGAAAAGATGCTTGTTCGTAAAATTTTGCAATACAGACAACAGACAACAGATCAATACATATGAGTGAAAAATTAATACTTTATGGATAAACTATTGTGAAGTCAGTTCCACCACAACACTGAAGAATTTGCACTAGATGGATAACCAAGTGTACATGACCTGTGCAGAAATACAGGATAAAAATTGTTTGACTAATTAGGAAAATTGAGAGACACTACAGAGATAATACACTAGAGAGTACTGTACTTCTGTAATGTTGGTGTGATTATGAAATGATTGATGGAAACTATTTTTTATGTTAATTGGTTACTATAAATTAACTTAGTAAGTAGCAATTTGTATTTTAATATTAGTTACATTTTCTTGATTTTTTGAATTACATTAAGATAATAATAATGCCTCCAAAAGATGAAGCTAAGTTACCTCTGAACCAATGCTTTGTTGGTTGATGGAAGAGATCACCAAGTGACCATGTATGAAGAAAAAAAAAAACTGGATGTATTATTTTTACAATCAAGATTTAGAAGAAAAGGATACAGAAAGTGAGATGCTTGCTATTCAGTCATTTTTTGATAAATTATCAGAAAAGACGGAAGAAGTTCAATGATTAGGAAATCTTAAATCTTATAACAATAAAATTTTATTTAAAAATAATCAGCTGAAAAGTGAAATTCAGCTCTTAAAGAAAACACATTAATCTAGAGAATGTAGAAAACTGGTCTTGTTATAGCATTGACACTGTTAACCACTCAGCAGTGAGTGATGACTATAGTCGTCAAGGGTGATCATGTGGCAGTGGTGAGGGACGACTATATTCATCAAATTCTTTTGGGGGTATTGCCAAAAACTAGCCTAAAACTACCACGAAAAAAAAATTCACATAAAAAATGTATTATGTAACAATAAAAAAAGACTTTTCTTTACTAGACATAACTGTTTACAAAATCTTTTTCCGAAACACCAATGAGAAAAAATGCGTGGAAAAATATTCTAAAAATTTCGCACGTTTATTCTCCACTACTAAGGGGTAGCACCATACCTGACTATTCCACTTTCTTTTTCAGTTGAAAGGTTAAATTTAAAGAACACTGTATTATGATTAATAAATACGGCTAAGGTAACAGCAGTTAGTTCACTTTATCAAAAATTTGCATCAATGATTTTCAAGGTCAATATCAAAGTTGTATAATTTAGGAGTTAAAGCTTAACAGAAGATTGAAATCTCTAAATTATAATACCATATTTACTCGAATACAAGACAATCTCACATATAGGATGAGGTGTGACTTTAATGATCAAAATAAAGAAAATTAGATTAATACAATTCTAATTTTATTTTGTTTAATAACAAATAAAATATCAAATGCCATAAATTCACACATTGTCCTGCAAAAATTACTGGCATTTTAAACTTCAAGGAAAAATCATGTAAAATTGACAACATAATTTGTTCACGTAAAGCTGGACAATCAGGAACCTTTTTTGCCAATTCTTAACAGTTGAATTCACTCTTCATCAATTACACTTATGACTTTCTTTGAATTTCCAAATAATCATCTGTTTTCATGTGGGAATGAATTAAAACTTATATCGGGCTCCTGTTTAATTTTGGAATTCAGTTCAAAAAACTTTTCCTATTGCTATTCATCTTTACTCCTGACAATACACAACAACGATTCAAACAACCCAGATAAAATACTTTTGTTTTTAAACACCAGATGATGATAATCTGGTAAAATATGTGAATACATAGTTTACAAAAATTATACAAAGACGAAAAGAATCCTTCACTCCCACGACAACCTAGGTTTTTGAAGCAGTGAAAAATGGATAAAAACCTTGTCTTATATACAAGTAAATATGGTATTTTGAATTAATTTACTAAATAAAGTTAAAAAAATTAAATTTATTTACAAAATAAATAATAAAGAAAATGAAACCTTCATATAACCTGTCTTATTGTTCACACCATGCCTTCAGAACAATTGTTGAAAGCAATATAATTACCAGTATGCAGTTTAGACATTGCCATCTCAAGCATTAAAAATACTGTCTTTTCTGTTTCATTCTGTTAAAAAATTGTTGTAGTTATACATAAACAACCAAGCCCAAAAATTTTCTATAATAATCATATTAACTTCTGAATTATTCAGACAATAGTTTGGTTAACTATTAATTATTAATATATAATAATTTTTTCTAAAGGTAGGCAGTTAGACTGCCAGGCTAGTATATTTTGGTATGGCTATTTCAGTGCAAGAAAAACTTTCTGCATTTATTCACCATTATCATTTGACATTAATGTTACTTTATCACACACAAAACACTTGAACCAGTATATATTAACTCAAATTAGCACTTTTATGAATGTTTTCATCTGTTTGTAACAACTTCAACCTGAAAATGTATGTTATAAACACACAAAAATGTTTGTAAATGAACTAATTTTAGTTTATTTGCTGGTTCAGGTTCTCCACCACATTTACAGGACATGCTATTTATTAATGATTATCTGACACACCTTACAAATTAAAATTTTTAATTAGTTAAGTTGTTAATTAGAAAAAAAGATCATTTTTAAGAATCATTGAATTATTAATACAGTAATACCTCGACTTACACTACCCTGACTTACGCGAACCTGGAGTTATGCGATTTTTAAATCTCGTCGATTCGTCTTTTGTTTGCCACGCAACTCCTGATTACTCACTCCCCCCACACTATTGTTCAGCTTACACGTTCGGACATGTTGCGCAGAATCGACACATAGCTACAATTTATTTTGTGTTATTTATTTCTGTGTTTGTTATATCTACGGAGACTTGAGAGACTCTATGTGTATCATTTGACATTAATGTTACTTTATCACACACAAAACACTTGAACCAGTATATATTAANAATATGGACCGTTTATTTTGAAAGTGGTGTAAGTCCATTTTTTCTTCTTTCGAGATATTTAAACATTTGCATTTTAGTTGATTCAAAAATATAAATAAAGTGTACTAAGTTTGACAATGTTTTTATGACTTTAGAAATATGTAAGTTGATTGCATAAAGACTTCTATGTGAATTTAACTAAACTAATATATTTTTTCTGGACCATAAATGGACTTACACCACTTTCATAATTATTGAACTGTAAAATTCATTAAATTTCTATTATGTAAAACTCAATTTCACTTGAAACAATTTGTGTTTTATTCTGATTTTGTTCATATATAATAACAAGAAATAAAATCGTATTGTTTATTCTGAACATTAAAATATTTACTTATTGTTAAACTATTTTATGATAAGTTTATTATTATTATGAGCTTACAGACTCTATTATTACTTATTAAACTATTTTTATGAGTTTATCATTATTATGAGACACTGCTTTTCATTTAGATTCATTACATGGATTTTTTCCCATTCCATCAAATTGTACATTTGTTGGTAATATTTATAGTTTTACTCCTCTGTTGTAAGGGGGATGTCTTTAAATGATGTCCACACTGAAAGGGAGGGAGGGGATTAAGACAACTCGGACAAGGGGGTTGAGTATTAGTAGACATCCATTTATTTCATTAAATTTTATACAGTATGCATTTTATTATATTTATTTCAAAGTTTCTTGTATGTTTCATTTCTACTTATGGTATCTATTATTCATAGTGATGAACGTTTTAAAAGAGGATCAAGTTTTGTTGGATGCCTGAAGAGGAGAGGGGTTATGGAAACTTGAATAAACTGGGATGAGAGGGGGGAAGGGGAGTAAAAATTTCAAGATAAATGCAGGAGTAATTTATGGACAGCCCCTTAAGAGTTTTCTCAAATTAATAATTTTGCCTAGCTAGCACAGCATTTTTAAAGTTGTAAAATTTTAAAATTTAAATATGCCATTTGATCTATAACTGGGACTTGGTCTGATCTGCTTTGTTGCATTTGGTAATGATCCGTTGTACAATACCCATTGCTGTTACAATAGTATTAAGTAACATTACTGTAAAATGATAATGAATTAATGGAGAAAGTTTTTTTTGCCCCCAAAATGTACAATTCATTTCGACTTCTATCTTTTATTAACAGTAACTAATAATTACAATAATTTTTGAATTAAATTTAATAATTATTCAATTTAATTCAAAATAATAATTAATGAAATCTCAACTATTGGGTTGTTCGAAAAGTAATTTCATTTTTTTTATCACTAGACGGATTAGTTGTATTTTTCCTGCCATTTTCATTCTAAACCATATTATCATTATATATTTTGACAGCTAGCATTTTAAGGCTTATTTGTAAAAAATTTTGTTTGATTTTGTGCAACTGTTTATTTTTTGTGTCCCATCAAATACAGAAGATCGAAAGCAGCATTTTCGGCCTTTTTTACCGAATTTTATTACCAAAAAGGTAAGAATGTTGTTCAAGTGAGAAAAAAATTGTATGACATGTATGAGGAAGATGTATTTACAGAACGACAGTGCCAAAACTGGTTTACAAAATTTCGTTCTGGCAATTTCAATATGGAAGATGCACCAGTTGAAGCCAATGAAAACAAAATAAAGGTACTGATTGAAGCAAACTGCTGAACAACAACACGTGAAATCACTAAAAGATTAAATTTGTCAACTTGAACTGTTTATGATTACTTGAAACAAATTGGTTTCGTTTCAAAGCATGATATATGGGTTCCACATGTTCTTAGAGAGATGCTTTCTTTGGCGGGATTTTAAGGAAATATTTTTTTTTGGAGCTTTTACCAGACAGTTTAACAATTGATTCGAAAGTGTACTGCCATCCAGTAAACAAATTG